TAAGACATAATAAGACATAATAATATAGTATAGTAATATAATATAATATAATAGACATRTAATAAGACATTTTTCAAAGTCACTATTGTTAGTTTTTAACATTAGACCACAAAACACCATTGTAGATTACAATTTATACCCTTTTGGCAACTTTCTTTGTGTTTGGTTTTGTGCTCATCCACACATTGAATGGGACTTCAGCTCAGAAATGTAGCTAGCTCGCACCACTGTTGTCCTCTCCAATGATGTGGAGGAAAAAGCAACACTATGAAGTTATTTTGTTTTATACTTCAAAAAGCTAAAATCACACAAGACTACACATTCTGCATCAGCTGAACTGATACTTTAGCAGTGATACAAATTACATGCATTTATTTTTTTGATTATTTTTGACAGATTGTTTAGAAAATAATCCAACAAAACAAATGTCACCTTGGGAAATGTATTTGCAGACAGAGTTATAAGTGCAGTAAGTGGAAAACCTTGTTTATTTAATGTTGTTGGAATGTGTAGGAGTGTCCAGGGTTGAGGAGGACCCGCAATGTTGAACCCAACCAACGGTGACCAGAGGCATGTAGATGTGAATTATGTGGAGGAGTACCTGGAGCTGGTGGAGTATCTACCTCTTGACTTGCAGAGGAGTGTATCCATCATGAGGGAAATTGATGCCAAGTATCAAGGTACCGAAGCTCAGTGGGGCAGATTACTATTATGTCGCAAATACTTTGTACTTAATTCACTTGTTAAAACGAGGAAAAGAGCTAAAATTGAGAATTTTGTGTACCTTTTAGATGATTTCACTTGTAGTGTAACTGATTGTGTGTTTTGTGCAGATGTTCTCAAGGAGCTTGAGGATGCGTATGAACGGTATCGCCGTGARTCTGACTCACCTCAGAGGGGCAAGCTTCAGTCGTCCATTCAGAGGGCACTGATCCGCAGCCAGGAGCTTGGCGATGAAAAGATACGGATTGCTGGTCAAATGGTAAATTAGAACCGAACGGAGCTACTCATTTGCAAATGCTTTAAGTCTAAATTTTTACAACAGATATGGAACACACTTAAGCTACAGCTTTTGTGTGTATGAAAGCAGCTGAAATTGAACACGCAAAAAAATATGACAGGCCTTAAAACAAAAACACTACATGCTTTGTTGCAGGTGGAGTTGGTTGAGAACCGAACACGACAAATAGACTGCCATTCAGAACTCCTCCTCTCATCTCAAGAAGTCCCAGAAAGCCTCGTTACCATGACACCACCTCTGACTTCCACTGCAGCATCCTTGATGTCGTCTTCGTCAGCCACGGTCACACCGGGGAAATCGGGCCACCAAGACAAGGTCGCACCGGGTTCAGCTGGAACAGACAAATCCGGAGGGAAACGTTCAAGGCGACAGAAAAACGGGGAAAATCGTGAATGTTACGGGGGTCTGGACCATGCCGACGATGTGGGCGCATCTCGGGAAAAGAGGGCCAAAACGTCTTCCAAGAAGAAGAAAAGGTCTAAAGGAAAGTCGGAGCGGGAGGTGTCGCCTCCCGACCTGCCCATCGATCCGGACGAGCCGACGTACTGCCTGTGTGAGCAGGTGTCCTACGGCGAGATGATCGGCTGCGATAACGACGAATGCCCCATTGAGTGGTTCCACTTCTCCTGCGTCGGGCTCAACCATAAGCCCAAAGGCAAGTGGTACTGCCCCAAGTGTCGAGGTGAGAATGAAAAGACTATAGACAAGGCTCTGGAGAGGGCTAAAAAGGAGAGAGCCTACAACAGGTAGCTCGCTCTGCATGGCTCAGTGAACTCTTAAAAAATTATGTTTTGCATTTATGAGGATTCTTGTGGTTATTTTTGTAACTGCTGCAGAAAGGAGAAACATCTGTGTGGTTTAGAAAGAATTAGTAAAAACTGGAATGGAGCATGTTTCTGAAGTTCTGCGCTTAATCTCCCTCTTTGTTTATCATTCATGCTGTGTTGCGTGTTCAATATATCTTCTTGTTTAACAAATAAAATTTTTAGTGGAACGTATTATTTCTGTCATATCTGTGACTCATGTTTGAGACATTTCATTTGCAATCGCAGCTTGATGTTTACAAACCCCTAAATGGCAGTCAGCTGCACTTGAAAGTGCGAATGGCATGCATTTCCTACAAATATAAAAAAGTGCAAGACGACATCCTAATATTTAGTTAGTTTGGCATGATTAAAAAAAAAAAAAAGACAAAACAATCCCACTTAAGGATGATGTTTATTTACAAGTACTGGAAAAAGTGACGTGAAGGACAACCAGTGCAAAATCTGTACATAATTTCAGTTGCAGCTTTCTTTAGTTATATACACGAGAACTCAACAGGATTGTGAAAACATAATGTCATGCATGTAACAGTTCACAACACAGCAAAGGACTCTGTGTCAACGTGTGATTTAGCTGTAATGCTCAGGCTGCTTATTATTCCACTGCATTGTGAAAATTGACGAGATCAGGCGCACAACTAAAGAGGACCCATGACGTAGCTGATGCACCCCTGTGGACAATAAACATAAAAGGTCATGGGAAGTTTCTACAGCAAACAGAGGTTTTTTTTTCTTTTTCCTCTGTAATAGTCTGTTAGTCCATACTGACAGAACACCGAGGCAATATTCACACATTTTCCCTGACTGACTAGAACAGATGTGTAGGAAAAACCTGGGCCAAAAACAAAGAGGAAAAACWCTATCAAGTTGAAGGTAAAGTGCATAAAAGCTTAAAATAAAAAAAGGGGGGAACAAAAATTGTTTTAAAATCAAGATTTACTCCACTAAAACTTGAAGCACACACAGCTTAACAATGGAGCGAGCTGCTTTTAGAGTTGTTAGGTCAACTGTCSCGCCAGCTTTGTTCAACTATAGCAGACACACGCTTCTCGTACTCCCGTTTGTTCTCCTGGTACAGCTGAGCTGCCTGACTGTTGGCTGGACTGTTGGGGTTCGGCTCGTCCAGCAGGGACTGGGGAAATAAATACAAACATTCAGATTTTGGATATATTCAACATTTCTTCAAAAAGAAGAGTTTCTTACACCTTGAGGGAGGTAATATAGATATAATCAAACTCTTGCAGGGACTAAATCCAACTTAAAGAGATGGTTCAAATATTTTGAAGTGGGGTTCTGTGGAAAGGTTGAGCTATTAGTGTCTTACTTGTTGTAGATAACTCTTTGAATGACCTCAATTTGAAGAGATTAGATTTAATTCTGACCAAATTGCCAAGATAACAGCTAGTCCTACCAGAGCAAAGTCCAGAGTGGATTGCAGTCATCTTAATGTAACTTAAATCTAAACCAGTGGTTCCCAAACTTTTTRTCTTCTGACCCACAAAATATCCATGGCAAAAWCTTGTGACCCCAAATATTACTGGCCTGAGTACATGAACTTCGTTAATAAACCTAAAAACACAGGTTTTTGACAATCTAAACAGCTTGTACACAAATATAAATACTTATTTATACTTATTGTGTTTTTATAATAATTATAGGGAAACCATTACATCAGCAATTATTTTATTACCCTTTAAATTGATTTCTGGAGATTATCCAAGGTGCTTCATGACCCATAATTGGGTCCCAAGCCCAACTTTGGGAACCAAAGTGCAGTGGTTCCMAAACTTTTCMGCTTTTGACCCGCAAAATAACAGTATCAGAGACCTGTGCCCACAACTGTTTTTGGATGATAAACATTTGTATCAGGTCAACAAAACATGGACATAGTAACAATATTTTTATACTACATTTATCCAGTTTAACTACACTAACCTCACTCCTTTGTAACAACTAAGGCAAAAATGTAATTAATTCAGAAAATCTTTTCAGGACCCCACCTTTATGTTTCGGGACCCCACTTTGGGTCCAGACCCCAACTTTGGGAAACWCTGATCTAAACAATCTGAATTATGTTTAAAAAAAGTCAGACTGAAACTGATGTCACACTTTAAAGTTAGTGGTGTTAGCATAAACTCCTATGAAGTTTTAGAGATGAAAGCGGTTATGACAACACAGATTAAACTTGTTTCATCAAACAGAACTATCTGAAACATGTAAGATATTCTTTATAAACCCACTGAACTTAGCTTCAGAGGATCTGAACTATCCTTTGAAGTTCACATCTTCAACTTTTTATAATATTTTTAGACTTGTGATTTATTATTTGTTGTTATTATTATGTTTTTTACTAGAACAAGGTTTGGTTTGACAAAATAAGACATTTTTAATACCTGACCAAGTAATTAGCATGACTTTTTTTTTTACCTGGATAGATGTAAGAATAGAGGACACATCATAAGTGGGACTCCAGCGGTTCTGTAAAATGTCTAGACATATACTGCCATCCGCATAGACTATAGACAAGAAGAAAAACAATCACATACTGCCCATATGTATCCACAACAACATGACCACACAATACTCTTACCATTTGGATGAAACATCTTAGAGACAAACCGTACCGTGGGCGGTTTGTTGGGATATTCTTCTGTGAATTCTACAATGAGTTTAAATGTACCTGAGGCAAAAACAAACAAAGGAATGCAATTAACTTAAATGTGTGTCTAATGAGGAATATAGGAGCAATGACCTTTAATGACTTAAGGATAACACATTGTCAAGTTACAAGTGAATAATTTAATAATTGTGTATATTAACCCTTAAAACAAATACAAAAAAAAAAGCCATACCATCCTCAAATGGAGTTCCTTCAGGGCTGAAAAATTAAAACAAAATGATTTTGTTAGGTTTCACAATCTATAGGCAAATTTACAAAGTGGACAAATTTCACATTCTTACCCAAAAATGACAGCATTCCACACCATGATGTTGTTTTCAGATGGGGCACCACTGACACCAGCTGGAGGATCTTCTTGTAGTCTTTGGAACCAAAATAAAGATATAATATCTCAGTTTTTTATTCCACACAATAAGAGACTAGATTTAAAAAGAAAAAAATTGTATAGGTCTTCTGGACGGGTTCTTCTCTAATGAAACGTTTCGTCTCTCCTCCAAGAGACTTCTTCAGTCTGAGTTTCAGGCAAAATTCAGGCTTTTAAGCCCTGCCTCCAGGTGACTGATACTCACATCACATGGCTATCGTTGACACCTAATTAACACTTATTGTTAACAGGGGTGGAGTGATACTGGCAATGGCAGCGCTGTAGGAGGGGGACAACTGAAAACGGAGGCCTCCACCTCTGTTTAATGATGGAYGGTCTTTCTTCACAAAAATGGCTTCTTTTACTCCTCTCTCAAACCAACGTTCCTCTCTATCAAGAATGAGAACATCCTCATCTCTGAAAGAGTGACCGCTGGCCTGTAAATGAGTGAAAACTGCAGAGTTCTGGCCRTTAGATGTAGCTCGTCTGTGTTGGGACATTCTTTTGAACAGTGGCTGCTTTGTTTCCCCGATGTATAACTGGTCGCAGTCCTCCTGGCACTTAACAGCATATACAACATTGCTCTGTTTGTGCCGGGGCAYCGGATCTTTGGGGTGAACCAGCCTTTGCCGTAATGTGTTTTGGGGTTTGAAAGCCACTGGGACATCATGTTTAGAAAATAAACGTCTCAGTTTCTCCGAAACMCCCGCAACTGGACCGCGACCAGTTATACATCGGGGAAACAAAGCAGCCACTGTTCAAAAGAATGTCCCAACACAGACGAGCTACATCTAACGGCCAGAACTCGGCAGTTTTCACTCATTTACAGGCCAGCGGTCACTCTTTCAGAGATGAGGATGTTCTCATTCTTGATAGAGAGGAACGTTGGTTTGAGAGAGGAGTAAAAGAAGCCATTTTTGTGAAGAAAGACCGTCCATAATTAAACAGAGGTGGAGGCCTCTGTTTTCAGTTGTCCCCCTCCTACAGCGCTGCCATTGCCGGTATCACTCCACCCCCTGTTAACAATAAGTGTTAATTAGGTGTCAACGATAGCCATGTGATGTGAGTATCAGTCACATGGAGGCAGTGCTTAAAAGCCTGAATTTTGCCTGAAACTCTCAGACTGAAGAAGTCTCTTGGAGGAGAGACGAAACGTTTCATTAAAGAAGAACCCGTCCAGAGGACCTATACAATTTTTTTCTTTTTGATTTTTTACCTGGATTACTGAGATGCATCAGGACAAGAGACTAGATTTGTTCAGTCCATGCCAAAAAAAAACAAACAAATCCTTAATTCATGATTGTATTCTTCAAAATGGCAAAATCTCAATTTATTTAACTTTAATGTGTGAGAAGCTCTTGATAAAATGCAATCAGCTTTTCAAACACACAAACTCAAAAATATTGTCAATTTCTAATTTCAGTACTTTCAGTTCTTCCAATACACATAACTTTTTTAAGTTTCCAAAGCATGTTAATGATCAGTAACTAACAGTGCTTCAAGTTGAAAACATATTTTTCCTTTGACACAGGTCGCCACTCTTAGTAAACACCTGGAGACAGCCTGTCCAAAAAAATGTACGACTTCTTAGAACTTAAAAATGCTCTGTCCCATGAAGACAGACTTCACACTTACAATTACAGTTTGACACGTTTCTGAGAACCCCTGAATGAACGGACTCACTGCAAATGTATATTAATTGTATTAGAAAATAGTGCAGCTAGTTTAAAGTAAAGAAACATCTTTCATTTATGGACAAACTGTTCCTTAATCAGTACAGTATGTTAGACTGTCACTTTACAAGATGTAGACGCCAAGTTTTGTGTCTTCCTCTGTGAATGTGTTATTCTTCTAACAATTAACAACCAAAACACAACTTTTGCTGTGTTAATTCTTATCTTTAAAGTTAATTACATTACATTATTCATATCCGGCTAACGCAAGTGAAACAGTGAGGTTTTTGACTCGTATTATGGTAATATTTTTGAATACATCAGTCGGTATTGTACAACAAATACAATTATGAACGGGTTTCTTGATATTGTACTTTACTGTGAAACTAGTTCTGTTGATTAGAATGAAATATTAAGGTTAGCCTCAACAAGCTAACGTAAGCTAGGCTAATGATAGCTGTTTTGACGAAACTGCTAACCAGTTTGGACCAACTTACCGTTTAAAATCTCTCATAAGTCTCCTTCTAGCCGGGGTTGACATGGCTTAATCTGTGAGATATTTTTGGTAAGGCCACTACACGGACGGGAACTTCTTGTACCGAAACGATCTTACTGCAGGTACTAATTTTTCCTGATAACTTCACCGCCGTCCTCTTCAGCGGCCGGGCCCGATGTTGTCCTGATGCACCGCTGCGGCCCAGGTTAGCACAGACTGGACGATACCATTCACCGGAGAGGGGACACAATCGTGAGAGACGATTTAAACAGAAATTTACTGATTTTCAAAAGCGATTAAAATTCAATTTTGTTAATATAATGTATATTCGAYGATTTATCACGTTGTATTTTACAAGGTGCACGCATAAATGTTACGTTTTATTAAGAAATATAATTTAAAACACCCCCCGCCCTGAGTGAGACAGGAGGCGTGGCCACAGTGACGTGATGTTTGTGCAGTGGAGATGAGTTCCTGGTGACAGGTGCAGTGTGGCCGGCCCGTAGGGTCATGAGGCCTGGTCATTTGGAGTTTTTAACTGAAATATTGGTCAATATTTTGTTTTATATATAAATGTATTAAATATTCATATGTTCATTTTTTTTCTCCAAAACTATTAGTACATCTACTTCTTCATGTCGACTTTGGCTGCTTTCCCCCCCAATTAATTTTCAGTATGATAAAAGTAAAACCTAATTATTACTAATAAGTTTGTTTTATTTAAGTTGTTATAAAACAACTAAGCTGACAGAAGTAGATAAAATGATGCATTTCTCAATTCCTTACAGGCCTTTATTTCACCTACTTCACTTTATTTCCTATAAAAAAAGTATCCATTTTCAGCTTTTTATTTCTCCCACTTCTTTGGTTCYCAGATTTCCAGTTTCCAAAACCTTTAAAATGCTGCCAAGAGCTGAACAGAAAATGATCCAAAGGTCAAATAAAACCTCTGGTAAGTCTAAAGAAACAACAGGGAACGTTTGATCGAGGCCATTTAAAATAATTACACAAAAGTCTGCAGGGAAAAAAAGTAAATATATTAACAAAATAGCTTAGGCTTTACCATTTGCAAAAGTTCTTTAATACTTAAGTTTATACTGACTGAATCAGAGCTTAATTTGTTGACAACTTGAAAACAAAATGGTGTGGCAGTGCTTCCTTACAGATGCTTTTAGTGTTTTATTGTTAGAACCTTTGCAGCACACTCAAAACAAAAACATACATTTCTCAAACAAAACAAAAATATGCACTCTGCTCAGTTTTCAGTTATAAATTCCCCATTGATCCCCAGCAATGCCCACGTCGTGTAAAACAGCCATTTCAAAATAATACTCGACCACTCAGTGGCGTTAAGGCGAATAAATGCTTAGGCCTAAATGAAATTGAGGCTAAAAACTGAAATGAAAACGACAGCCTGTCAACTTCATGGTTTGTACTTTAGGATCCGTGGTAAAGCAGCATGGTGCTGTAGAAGGTGTGGTCATACATCTGCTCTGCTTTGACAGACGTCTGGTGCTCCACCTGACTGCCTGCAGTGCTAATGATCTCAGGCGAGTGACTGCAGATGTGCTGATCAAGGATCATTCCTGCTGTTTGGTTATTTGAAGGAAAATCCACACAGTGCCTGTCTCCTGATGCTGGAAAATAAACAAAATAGTAAAAAAATAAAAATAAAAAAGCACATACATTTGAATTATAACCCAATTATCCAGATGGAAGAACAAATTTGGCTGGATTGGTTTTGTTTTGCACAATTTTTCTTTTTTTATATATAAAAGTAGGTTTAGTCTCAAGTAGCCAATTATAAACGTGTTAAATCCACTATGTGACCCGATTTCAACACACTAGTTGTTCTGCAATACTAAATGTTCTGTAACCTCCTGGATTACGCATGGATCAATAAATTGCGAAATGCACCCAAGATCCTTACGTAACCCTCAGTTTTTGACCTGAGAACCCTGATGGAAGTAGGTTACGTTCTAATCTATGGTTCTTTTGTTCAACTTTTGCTTTGTCATGATCCAGTTCTGTTGCATTCATCAGAAAATAGTCCGATTTATTGAATCTATACCAAAATGTAAGGCAGATTTCCTTTAGAGAAGTCATGTAAACCGTGGCATTTCTTTTAATCACTTCATTTGGGTTCATCTGAACTCAAGTTTTCAAAAAACTCATTTCAAAAAGATTTAAACAAAAAGGCTAATATTTGACACAATACCAAAAACAGCAAGAAATCAAAAGCCACAATCATATTAGGAAAAACATAGCAACATTTAATTATTTTTAACATTTTACAATTAGATACAAAGCTAAACCTGCTCATTTGCCAAATGGGTTTCAAATACTCCCTCACCATTCACCATAACCCTTCAACATGAAACTGCTACCCAAAATAAATAAAAAAAAAGTCAATGAACCTCAAGAAATAAGGCATTTTGATTAATGTAGAAATCTATCTTGAGCAGAACTGTTCATAAAAACTGATTGTAAAACAAAGATTTAAACAATATAAAATGGTGCACAAACCCCACCTGCTGCCAAAACCTGCAGAAACACATACAATAAACATCCACCATACATCAAAACAAATAAATACAAATAATAATAATAATCTTAAGCACATGCATTATTGTTTCTTAGTGTAGCAACAAAACATCTTTATTCTTCTCAAGCTGCATTCATGTTGGGATATGCTTTGGCATAAAGTTGTTCTTTACTATAAAAGAGCATTGAGTTAAATCAATTTTGCATTTATGTGTACATCTAAGAGCAGGACCTGTTAAATGTGTATAAATGTCAAACATAACGTAAACCCAGTGCGTAATCTATTAAAACAGTTTTTCAAAGATTTAATTCTTAATGGCGAAACAAAATTTTATAAAAAATTGTTCGCTCTTTTTTTTAAGCCAGCTGCATAAATGTATCAAAGTTACGTCTATTCCTAAAGGTTAAATCCCATAACTGATACTAAAATTTATTAACATTAAAAAAAATAAACAGAGTAAAGATTATAGTTTCAGGTGACCCGTTCTTATAAACACTGCAGAATTTTTAAATGATTTAAACATTTTCACTGGATATGAAAACACTGCTGTGAAATTGTGCAAAACAAAATTATCCTTTAATTATAATAAACCTAGAGACTTGTTGATTATATGACTGTATTTTGTTAGACTAGAAGAATAGACTGAATATATAGAGATATGATTACAAAAAACATCTTCAAACGTTTATTCATCCATCAGTTCCATGAAAAAGTATAAAATATACCACGCAGACTCCACACACCTTCTAATTTAACTCACCACCAAAACAGAAGTACTCATTTGTGTGTGTAACTAAAAAAGAAAAACAATTGGACGATACAAATGAGTATATATTAAAAGTGTGCCTTGACACATAAGCCCTTTTATAAGTAAGCATAAGAATTAGTGCAGCGACATGGAGTCTGCATTGATGCCACAGTGATGACTTCCAGCTCTTTAGTAGTGGGGCTCAGCTTGTCCWGTGGGCCCTGGTCCTCACATGGATCCAAAGGCCCCAGACCCTGAGGCGGTGCAAACCCATTCAGCCCAAATGTAAAGCTTCCTGGCCCACCTGAGGTTACAGTCGCTGATGTCTCCATGTTCATGCTCTCCATCTGAGACTCTTCGCTGCCACCTAGTGGCCCGTTCCCGTTCAGAAACTCAGGCTGCATGCACATTCCTGAAATCAGACAGCCCATTTTTTAAAAGCAGATTTAAAAAGTTGCTTAAAAAACTGAGATCTGTGATTACTGTAGAAAGTGTTTCTTCATATTAATTAGGTCTCAACATGAGGTGCAAAATTCAGATTGTGTGTTTCATTAATGAGTTATTTCTTCACAATTAAAACCTAATGGATGAAGACAGTTCAAACGTATATTTCTTAAATGCATCTCATTTCTGAGTGACTGATTTTCAGCCCTGGTGGGTTCACTTAAAGTCAAATCTACAAACTTAAACAATTTTTCCCCCTTAAATGTTTAATTATAGCTAAAACTGAATTATTGAGTACAGATAAAACTCATTTTTAACATCTCAAACATGAACATTTGAGTTCCTGCCCTGATGGTTTAAGTAAAAATGTCTAATTTTATTGTTTTCATTTTTAAACGGGGAAAAAAATAAATTAACAAGAACATTTGTATATCCACAACGACCCAAAACAATCTATAATGTTCGATGTAAGGTAAAATTTAACAATATTTTCAGTAATATACAAAAATTGACATTTTTGTTGTTTTAGAAAAAGAAATCTGTAAGAAGTTATTCCTGTGTAATACAACTCCAGGACTTTATGGATGATTTTTGGGGTAAATTTTTTATACATGCATAGATGGAATAAGCTTTTAGTGCTTTCATTTTTAGACCGTAGCTTTTGAGCAAATCAGATCAGAGGAGCAGAGCGGGGCCATGTGAGCTCTGCATCACTTCTTCACCTTTCTTTTTTTCCTAAACAGGGTAAACTTAGACTATAATAAGTAGATTAACACAACTTTAGATCATGCATTCTTGTTTCATTTTCTTTGTGTTGTATTGTAGGCTTAATAAAAATGCGCCATAGAAGCCCGATCTGACCCGGCCTGACTGTCAAGAATATAACTTCGGCCCAAACACAAATTCGGGCCATGCTCAGGATATAAATCTAACTAAATTTATATAAGACAACTTGGCAAAGGAAGATATTTTTATGTAAAGACATTAGCGTACTTTAAAGTACCCAAACAACAAAACAAAGAAGATTACAGCATTTTTCGGACTATAAGCCGCGACTTTTTTCCTGAACTTTGAACCATGCGGCTCATGCTGCGTTCACACCGAACGCGATTTCAGCTTCAAAATCGCAGCCAACGCTGAAATTTGAAGCTTGTGCACTTTGAGGTCAGACGCAGGTCAGCTGTTGAAGCGCTGCACGGCAACAGCCTCCCCGCCCCTCCCTCCTCTGTCGGGCTCTGTTTAATGTCGGACGAGGAAGTGGCTTTGCTTTATTTACAGACAGCCAGAACGTGTCACGTTCATCAGATAATTAATTCATAATTAATTCACCAGATAATTCAGAGTAGAGGCTCACAGCTCGCTTTCAGGACTATTTTTCCAGTCTGATGAGTCGCTGTCACGCATTGGTGCGGCTCAGGACACGACTGCAGGCACTCATTTCAGCTAAAGAGCAGGAGCTCTGTCTGTTTCAGGTTAGTGGACATCATTCAGTAAACTGTCCCGTCGGGAAATATGTCGCTACGTCACACAGTGGAGTTTCTCTGATTGGTTGATGCGGCGCATCGAGCTGCAAAAGTTCAGATTTTCTAACTTCAGCGATTTGCGCCTCAGCGCGTCGAACGCTCAGATCGTTCAAATCGCGCTGCTCTAATCGCGCTTGAGGCGCCGCAGAACTTCCCGACGTTGCTTGAAGCGCGTCCACCATAGACTTTGCATGTAAACCTGCTGCTCCTGATGCTGAAATCGCGTTCGGTGTGAACGCACCATTATAGCCCGGTGCGGCTTATACGTGGATTTTTCTATTCAGCCACCAGGGGGCTCTTATGCTCCATTTGCTTCAACCACTCGCTTCAAAAAAAGAAAGGGAAAAAAAAGAAGAAAAAAGTGATTGCTTCCAGAGCCGATTGTTGTACCAGGAAGCAGCGATTTAAAGATAGTCAATGGCCAAAAACTCATAAAAGGGGATAAAACAGATATTTTTCATGGTGGAATCTGTCTGATAATCACATTGGAGATTAATCCAGGACCAGTTTGTGGATAAACGTCGAGTGAAGAGCCACAGACTTTTTTTTCCGCATTGCACTCCCCGGGGAAGGAATCCCATGCAGTGACGTATGCTGGAGCGGGAGGAGTTTCCCAGCAGCTGGGCTCGGGGTTTCTCGGGGGAACTATGAAAGGTCAGTGCGAAAACAAATGCCGAACAACCACGTGACGGCGCGTGGACCGGTCGACAGCCGAGCGACCATACTGCCAGCTTAGCCGGAGGTGTAGCGCCATTTTGTTTTAGTTAGTAGCAGACACGACACGACGGATYTTTAACAGACACGATATTGGACAGTATGCGGGCCCACATCATGGATTCGGTGAAAGCAGCCATCAATAAAACAAACTCAATTCCTGCTGTTATTCCTGGACGTACAACAAAGTTTTTGCAACCCCTGGACATCAGTGTGAATCGTGCATTTAAAGAAGCACTCAGGGCTGAATGGGAGGCTTGGATGACTGACGGGGATAAATCATTCACAAAAACTGGCCGAATGYGAAGAGCGWCATTTCCTGATGTCTGCCAGTGGATCCTAACAGTATGGAGCAGAGTGAATGAGTCCACCATCACCAATGGGTTCTGAAAGGCTGGACTGCTACGTGAAGAGGACACCACAGCTTCAGAGCCAGCATTACCCCGGGAGGACAACAGATACCACTGTGTGACGCAGCTTTTCTCAGCTTGTTTAACTCCGACATTGAAGAGGACTTCGAAGGTTTCAGTGCACCGGGGGACGATGAATAAGACGTTTTGTTGGACCAGAAACTGTTAAAGAAAACTACCAAAATAAGGTCAGTTATATGAACCGTATCCCTCCAAACTTTAATTCCTAAAGGTTTGCTTTTTATGTTTTGATGTTGAATTCACTTTTTTGACGACAAATTTGGGTGTAGTTTTTTTTATGTTGGAGGTGCAGCTTATATGCTAATGTTCGTGGGTTTTTTTTTTTTTTAAATGGCTGATGCAGCTTATAGTCCGAAAAATACGGTAGCCTATAGACTAGGGGTGCACCAAAAGATCGTTTTGAATCGGAATCGTGATTCTCATTTACAAAGATTCAAAATCAATTTAAAATGTCCCAAAATTAATTAATTAATTATTTTATTTATTTATTTATTTATTTATACAGACACACACTAGGGCTGCACAATATATTGCAAATTTATCGTTGAAGTGATAACAGCCAGTGCAATATGCATATCGCAATAAATGCATAAATTGCAATAAATCATTGGCTCCAATATTTGCATTTATGTTGTCAACATCAGTCTGATTAAAAAACGGACCAAAGCAACAACATCAAATCATAGTCACTTCATTATGTTGTAACGGAAATTATGTATTAGTTGTTTTTTTGCTCCGAAACCAGAGCAGAAAACATCAACAATGTATATTTTATCTTTTTTTTAAATCGCAAGTCATACCGTCTCCACAATATTAAGCACCGTTATCGCACATTGCAGGATTTCTTGATTTCATGCAGCCCTAATATCCAAAGGTTGTCAACCTCCATTTTGTAACCACTTGGGACGTCCTGACRTCACGTGGAGCTGGTTCTGGAATGTATGCATGCACAGAAAGCACCAATAAAAAGAGGAAACTACAAAACTGGAGGAAAGAGAGACTCAACTGATCCTGTCTTCACTGAATGCAAAGATTTGGGCTCATTTTATTGTTTACTGGATGAGTCTGAGTTTGACATGAGCTTCACTGTGTGCAAAATTTGCAAAATGAAGATGAAACACTTTAGGAACATGACAAATGGGCTCACATTGAGTTTTGAATGAAAATTTTGATTTTGAACCGAATCGTGACCCAAAAATCTGAATCAAATCGAATCGTGAGATAGTAAAAGATTCCCACCCCATTATAGACCTACCATTAGGTCTGGCCTTCTTCAGTGGATTTGCCTCAATGCCATCAAAAGACCTCTTTCTGTTCGGCACACCATTCAAGAAGCTGCGGCCCTGGATGGTGGGCAGAGAGTGGCCCCCATTCTGACTCATACCATTGAGAAAAGCCCTGTTATGGGACTGGGCCGTGCTTTGCTGGAGGTTCTGGGCATTGGCGAGAATTTGAGCGCACTCCTGGAATCCCTGTGCGTGGGCCAGGTCAGCAGCCGTCAGCCCACTGGCATTCCTCATGCTGCACAACAGGAAGGAAGACTGTCAGAAATGCTCAGTGTACGTTGGGGTTACACAAAAACCAGAATGAGACAAGCATTCACACGCACACACACGTACATACACACTCATTAAGCAAGTATTCGCACATAAGACATTCACAGATGTAAAACAATTAGCCTGCACTGCTCTACCTCTTCACATCATTTCATCATCTTCATGAAGATGACGACTGATCCTTTTTGGATCGAGTGCTTCTTACAGAGAATCTAAATCATTTTGGTTTCCACAGAAGAAGGGAAACACATTTGCTGCAAGAGGACATGATTAGGACAACTGGAACTTTTCCCCACATTAGTCTGAGTTTCCAAAGCAATCCAACAAAAGATGACAAAGGAGTTGCTGAATCACAAGGGAGTTTCTGCAGGTAGTCTCATGATCGGCCTCAACTGCAGAACAAAGGGCAGCAACAAGGAGAATCAGAACCAAGTACTCTGTCGTCTGTTGGTCCAACATGGATGCTGCTCAAGGATCTCTAAAGATGAATCCAAAATGTTTACTGTATGAGAAGAGAGCATTTCATGTAGTTTCTTCCTGATAACAGAGGTTGGCAAAGCAAAGACGTTTTAAGAAACAACCAGAAGATTCAAGTTTGTTGTTGTGAGGACATCWGGACCCTCTAAATGGATGTAATGAATGAAACAAAGTCCAACTTGAGCTGTCGGGAGCTACAAATCCAGAAATCTTCTCTTCGAAGGTGAAGAACTTTAAGAAAAATGAATGAAATGACACTGGGAAACATAAGTCTTTCAGTAAAAAACATTTTACACAAACAGTGTGTGTGCTATAAACAGTTGTGGTAATCATGTCCAGTTGCAGCAAGAACAGAGATTTTCTGAGTGCAATAATAAATGAGCAAACAGTGCTGTGCTTTACATTTTCATCCAATTTACAGACCCTGAAGGTCTGTAGTGCTGCAGCRTGGAAGCAATGTCACAAGAATAAAACTACGTGAAACTGTTTTTTTATCTAAAACAAACGAACAACTTTACATAAAAAAGAAAGTTAGGGTTATTTTAAAGTAAAATCTAAGGCAGACTAAAGTCTGATTATTAGTTGTTGATATACAACAAGTATTCCACAAATTATTAAAAATCTTTTGAGGAATGTTTCTGCTCTCTGTGAGCCAATTTCAAAACAATACTGCACTTGTTCCCAGTCTAAATATCATCACATTCCGAAGTGGGTTCCTACGAAAACAGTTACGTCTTTGTTCAAGAACTGGAACAACGAGCCTAACCTTCTACTTTAATTAAAACGTGAGATTAAAACATGAAAGCTTTACCATCTGCTGGACATTTTGAACAAAAGCCAATGGATAAGAGCTCAAGCACTGTTCATCTCTACTATTCTAAAAAGCTTAAGTAAAGGTTGATTTAAAAAAAAACTATTCTGAACATTTGCCATTCAATCCAAGTGACATTAGCTTCCACACAATGAAAGAATTTAACACACAGTCACTGGTAGCTCATTCATTGTGATTAGAGCTTGCTCATTGTCTGCATTCTTATCTAAACAGTTGTGCAGAACAAAACACATTTCAAGTGCTAGTGAACACGATAAAACATTCTGTAATAATTTCAAGATTTAAAATGAACAAAAAGTTCACACAATAACTTGTTGCACATTACCCGTCTCCCTCCAAATTAACGCTTCCAAACAAGTTGTTTCCCAATTATACAAAGAACATTAAAACAGATGGATTGGTCTCACGCTAAGGAATACAAAATCTTAATTACATTAACTTGTTTTTTTTAGCACTACCCAATGCAATCATATTAAAACAACTGATAAATAAGTTAATCACATGACAATTGAACTCTTTAGATTAAATAATCATAAATTTCTATTCAAGTGCACTACATTTGTCAAGATTTTGCTACATATGTTAAAAAATATACACTTGATATTTGCTGTCCATTAGGAGGTCCAGTGGTTTAAGCCCCTGGATCCACATAGGTGCCCTTTTTAAATTAAATACTAACAAAACCATCTAAAACCATTTAAGTGTCCTCAACACTTTAAAACACTTTCTAGTTTAATCAATGCTTAGAATTAAGGATAATATAGAATACAAAATGAAAAAAAAAATTAAATACCATTGAGTTAAAACAGTATCATTTTTTATAGTAATTCAAACTGGTGAATGAAATGTTTTAAACCTCCTGCTGTCCTGGGGTCAAGATGACCCGAGGCTTCAGTTTTAAAAACAAGTACCTTCAAGTATTTTATAGAAAATTTTACATTGTGAGAAATTGAATTTCACACACTTACTTATATTTTAAAATCTGTAGACTTTGCATATAACATTAATTTCTTGTAAAGGCCATACCATTTTTTTTTTAACACCCAGGTTTTTACAGGTCATGGGTGTCCATGTCCAGCAGTCAGTGAATGAGAGGCAGGTTAGAGACAGACGGGTTGCAGTTCCATCACAGATTTGTTCTATAATCTTCATTTAAGTTAAAATATATCATTGAGTTAGTAATTTGTTATTACAAAGTAATTCTTTTTTTTTTGCTCTTAAAATTTTAACCTGTATTCCTTTAGTGAGACCAGACATCTACATAAATTATTAATCCAACAAAATGGATTACTAACAAGTCAGGTTTAGAACGATAAATTGTGAAAATAGGAAGCGTTAATTCTTCGTAAATGCCTGGTATGCTTTGCTTTTCAGTCCTAAGCACACAGTATGCATCTTCTCTAACTATTATTATCTAACCTTCCAGAGGCAGCCTATAAGTCATGCTAAATGTTGACATGGGACTCACGTGATTTAACCTGTCCATATATAAAGGACTCCTATGGTTAGTTCAAAAAACAAAATCATTAAAAAAAATGAAAACAAAAAGGCTAAAGTACAGGAACAATCATGGATAATAAGCAAAGCATGCAGGTCTAAAAAACAAAAACTTTAGTTTTGATTCATAAAAAAAACCTAGCATTAAAACCAATCACCGCAAGAAATACCTCAACAGTTTGCCAGTGTGTAGATAGGAAGCGATAGTGTGAACACTCAATGCCACAACAGTGCGGCTATCCCAGGGAACGGGGCAGACTCAGCAGTGTCTATTCTCCCCCTTTCTAGGATTACTTGAAAAAACCAAGTCATTTCCAATTCAATGGCTGCAAAACATTCAGATGTATGGTTCTGGTTTTGTTAACAGTACAGCAAACGTTTCTTTTCTTTGTAACTTATTGTCACTTTCATAAAGGTAAAGGTGACAAAGATTAGATGTCAAAACAGACTATGATATTAAATATATATAAGGGTTAATACTGTGACATACAAAAGAAAACATTTCTGTGTAGAAAGTAACATTTCTGGTACAGTGAAATGACAGTGAATAACCATAGCAACAGGATGATGTTAGCATTAAACAGGTCAGTACATGATGCTAGGCAGAGCTAACTCATCTCACTCAGCTTCTCTAAACATGTCTGCTCTGCTCTCACCACCTGAAGCCTCCAAGGACTGTCCTCCCTGCAGCTAGTTGTCTACTAGACCACCTCAACACTTTACTAGTTGTCTACTGGACCACCTTAACAGTTTGAGACTCATGACAAATGGGGTCAAATGGGGTTAGTCTATATGTTTCTAATATCCTAGTTTTAAAGCCATTTAAACTAATATTGCATTGATACATAATTTTACATAAATATCTGAAAATTTGTAGTTTGTTTTTGTAACACGGAGCCAAACAATTTAGGATAATGTATGTGTCTGGAGGGAGAAAAAGAATGTCCCCTTTTAGAGTATTTATGAAAAGATGAAGAGATGTGGGGGAAATACAACCAGTTGGTTCACTAATAAGACCACAATAACGTTCCATTCTCTTGCTGTTAAGATAAATCGGGTCTTTAAAAAAGCTGTCACAGAAAGCAGAATAATCGAGGTGCTTCATAAAATAAACTTTATTTTAGTCACGCAGAAGCATCCATATTTTAAGGAAAAAGAAATGTGACCCACTGAAGATCTCCTTGTCTTTATATTTATAAAAAGGCCTTTCAATGCATGTTCCAGTTGACTTCTTCCCAAGCATTTCCAAGTTGGAGTTTTTTCCCCTCAGGTTAAAGATTTAAAGTATATGGGAGTCTTCTTCAAGAGTGATAGTAAAATGGAGCAGGAGATAAATCGACGAATCAGGCTTCAGTTTATCGGGGCAAAGAAAGCATTGATTTGAAAGCCAAAACTCTTGATTTACTGGTCCATCTAAGTTCCAACCCTCGCACATCGACATGAGGTGTGGATCACAACTGAAAGAATGAGATCCAAGACACAAACAGCAGAAATTAGCTTCCTTTGTTGCGCGGCAGGAGCTTGGTCGTCAATGGCCTATTGTGATGAGAGTCTAGGGGCAGATCCACAACGTGATGGAGGTGTTCTGTATCCTGGCCCCAAGAATACTGGGATCACCCAGACGGCAATGGAGTGTCCCTGCAGAGAGGGACGTCTGGGTTTTTCTCCTTGACCTGTTGCCTCCACAACTAAACTACAGATGAGAAGTAGAAGATGAAGATAAAAGCATTTGAATTCAAATATTTCAAGACTGTATCAGATGGATTACTCATCAAGCCCAAAGTTGACATGTAGGGATTTAAATATTATTGATCAATGTGGAATAGATAGGAAAACCACCTCAATGAACCAGAGAAGGRTTTAAATCTTGCAAGTTCTTCTTCAACATTTTTTCCACCAGCATCAAGATCAGTACACAAGCTTTAAAAGAAACTGAACGTCTCTTCTGCAAAATGTTTAAAAATACATCTAAAGTTCACTATTTATTGTTTAGGAGTCATTTCTTATTCTGAATTCCCAAGTCAAGACAGGTTGATGGGGACTTAAGAGAAGTCAAGATTGGCAGAAGAAACAATGAAGCAAACAGGCAACAGGGGGGATATAAAAGAAAATCAGCTAAATGATGAAGAGATAAGGAGGAGGAAGTTTTCAGAAAGGCAAAAGACGCCAACTGTTCACAGACCATACAAGTGTGAAGGTAAGTTATCTTTGTTTGTGTCTTTTAGATGATTCGACTCATTTCAAAATAAAAATAAACCATGTATTTATGTAGGTTGGAAAGGAAAAACTTGGGAAAATCAAATCCAAGCATAGATTTAAAGGAAAACTAATTTGTGATGACAGGGATGGGTTGATTTCCTTTACATACTGAAAACAATTATTAAATTACCATTTTAAATTAGAGTTTTGACTTTTCTTATTACAACTTTAAAATTTTAATAAAGTAATTTACTACTGAAATGTATTTTTATTTCATTGTTATACCAGTTACAAAAAGCTGTAAAATCACATTAAAACTGCAATAACTTTTAGATTTAAAAGTAAAAACATTAAACTTTGTTAAACTTTTTTCTTGGCAGCGTAARTTTAAATTGTGCTTTTGATTTTTTGTCTTGTTTTTGTTTCAAAAACATTAATGCTAAACAGTTTGTTTTTTAAAATAAAAATGGAGAATTGATCCCAGAAAGCCCTACTAATGAAATGTTTTTACATATACATTTTGTGTTATTATGATTACACTTTAGTATAAATATTTTTTGTATTTATATAATTTAAATTGCTATGTCAAGAAGCTGTTTTTCTTTAATTTAAAGAATAACTACAAAATTATTTGACCTATTTTTCCCTTATTGTCGATATGAATGGATTTTGTCATGAGTCTCATTCCCATCTTGTGTGCTTTAGTTGTCCTCCCAGTTGTTCCCAACTACAGTTCTGATTCATAAATTAAAGCAAAAAACTTCAAGAAACAAACTGATAATAAAACTAAACTAAGAGTCTTTGACCTGCAGGGGAAAAAGGAAATCACATCATTTCAATCATAAGTAAAAATTCATCAGTGGATAACCAAATGCACATAATGTTTGTTCAACAGGAAATAAAGGCTCTGTTAACATCTCTGCACAAAACGAGCCAATTTAATTTGCAACACCTACAGCAACCAGGGGGTTTAAGTTGCTGAAAACTAAACTTTAAAGTCATGATCAATGTGATTTGGTTAATTGGACAACTTTTATCAATAGAAAGAAATCATTTGCACTTTAATATACATTATCTTCCTCCTAGTGTGTACTTTTGTCAATTTACAACAGACTCACAAAGTTCTCAACCATTTAATGATAGCAACTAAGTATGTTTTCTCCTTGTGACAAGACCAAATGTCATCACATTACATGGATGTGGTCAAAAATAGATTATCATTGTTCTCAGCATGAGTGTCTAATAACAAAACTCGATCTATATTTGACAGAAGGGTTTACTTTCTTCACTCACAGCCCTAAAAACTCAACTTGATACTTATCCCAAACGAGTTTCACATAATCAACTGTAAAGCTGTAAACCCCCTGCGAGCTGCGGGTCTCTGTGGTGCAAAAAAATACCCAATTGAAAGGCAGAAGGTTTGTTTCAGAAAATGAAACTACACGGGAACATTTTTTTTAAAGAAACAAGTTAATTATTAGTGATCTATTTGACCTGACGAAGATCCGGTTTGGCAATGAACCAGTCCCACTGTGAGTATTAAGTGGGCAGAGCTATTTTGCACAGAAATAGTAAATCTAGATATGGTAAACTATAAACTTAAAACGCATTGATGTTTTAGTGTTAAAAAAAACAGTAAAACATTCATCAAATTACTTCTGCTACAAGACAGCCAGGAAGTTAAACTCTCAGGCTGCTGAGCTGGTTTGGAGGATAATTAGGGTTAAGACATTCACTGCATGTTCATCTAATTGTGTCATACAGGTCGCTGAACTAAAATTAAGCAAACGAAAAAATGAGGCGTGTCCTCGTTTGTGCTTCAGGTGCCGTCCATTGCAAAATATTTTCCATAAGTCGACTAATCCTGGCACGAGAAAACACAGAACTGCCGCAGACTAGAAAGGTGTGGTTTGATGTTACACCTCAGGATCATAACAAGCACTTATCTCCACTTTTACTGCTGCAAAACAAAGGAGTTCTTTGTGTTTTAAAAGGTAGATGAGAAGACTGGAAATTATCCATTAGCAATGTAGATTGGAAAATCTTTTACGGAAAACGTAGCATTTTTATTTTGTGCAACAAACAGCTAACAGCCTTTCAGAACAATTGGGGAAAAAGTGCTTCATATAAAGAGGTAAATGTGCATTTGGTTGTCCAGTATAAGACCCTGGCCAAAACAAATGGTAAATAAAACCACATTGTAGTTTTAACAAATAGCATGCAATAAGGCCTAATAAGTAATAAACAGCATATTAACTTTTACATTAAGTTGTCCTTGTGTCTGTGTAATAGTTGGACCAAACGGACAATGCCAAAAATATAAAATCTGGTGTGCAAAGATAMCTTTACGAAGCTGTATCCCCATATTGCAAAAAAATGAGTCAAACTGTCTAAGTGTCAAACATTTACTGAACAAATTATTTTCATTTATTTATAATTTATTTTCTACTAATATTACACACACAGGACAACTTAATGCTAATTGTTGGAGTACTAAACAACAATTTTAAAGATTTAACAGAATATGACACATTTCCAAGGGAACACCATCAGTTGTGTTCTATTTTTATATCCTGGTTTATGATCACAGTAGAAATATTAAAGAAGAACTATGAAAAGGTATTCTGGATTTAAACAAGAATACAGTATTCTGCCAACTCCAAATTTATATAAAACAAGTCAAGTTACGTTCATCATCTTTGTGGATGAAATTCAACGCAAACTGATAAATCTACAGCATGTGTTCAAATATTCTGGGATGTAAATGTTTGCAGAGCTGCTTGGTGTAAATTTTAGCACAAGATAAAACACTGTAGCAGAATGAAGTAGCACTAAATTGTACAGATCATTTCAAAACAGCAAATTCTCCATTCAGCATRAGCCTTCTTTTAAGTTTGTGTTAGGGTTGGGCGATATTGGCAAAAAAATTAATCACGATTAATTGTGGTATTTAGCCGATAACGATTAATTTGACGATTAATTCCCTGGAGTTCCTGGACACCCTTATTTCGTAGTCACATGACCAATTTAGTGGGAAAGATTTGCTCTTCGTAAAAATCTTTTCCAAATTGTGTCAAAATCACAGACTTCAGGTTATACATCAAATTTTAATTGTGTTGATGGATAAATAAATTACAGAACTTTTGCTTAAATGTTCATCATATTTGAAGAGGAGAGGAGCACAGAGCGGACTCTGCCTGGTGGCATTAATCGTATTAATCGTCAAGTGCCAAAAAAATAAYCGATTAATGTTTTTCTGACGATTAATTGCACACGATACGATTATGCCCAACCCTAGTTTGTGTTTATATTTAAATGCTTTAAACACCAGCTAAACTGTTTTAATATTGATGTTACTGCGAAAATAACTATTTTGTAGTTATTGAGCAGCTGTTTTTAACAAGTATGGGCCACCATTAATGTGTGTGTAAGGCTGTTTTTGATTTACTTTAATTTCTGTCAGCAAAATCGTTGCTCTTTTTTTTTTTACACAGTTAATTTGCAAATCATCTGACGGGTCTTTTATCAGATACATCCAGCAGTTAAAAGTCAGTGCTACTCCAAAATTGAATTTGGTGGGGATCCCTTGGAAAGGTGCAAGTGAAATGTTGGATATTAAAGGAGGAAAAGAAATGTGGACGCAAGACTGGTCACAGGACTTACTCAGCTTTCGCTCCCTGAATCAAGAGAGCGTTGATGCACTCCAGACTGCCCGCTCGAGCAGCCTTGTGGATGGGCGTCTCGCCCACATAGTCCTGAGTGAGGACAAGAACAGCAAGCATGAGCCAAAACGCTTCTCCGCTTGAAACTGTTACATTTTCAATCTAATTTCCCACTTCTGTATTCCCAAGGACTCGCGCCAAAACTAACGGGCGTGACTGGGCCTGAACTTTTCACCCAGACATCTCTGCCACCCACACACACACACACGTACTGTAACATTTATCTGAGAGCAAATGGAGAAATAAAAAAAAGCACCAAGATGACTGCCTGTAACCAGTCTGATGTAGGCCACACTGTGACTCTGCTGTCTGACCTCAGTCTAAAATATCACAAAAACAGAATTTTCTCAGTGTTTCTCTTTTTAAACGCTGAGAAAACTCTAAAGGACGAAGCGATCAGTGCGCCGCACAATGACGACAACGTGTTATGTCATTGTGACCTACTAATCCAATCTCTTACAGTCGTGCAGCAGAGCATAAAATATAACCTCAGAGCACGAGTCCATGCATGAAATCCCATCAGCAGCAGTAGAATAAAGTGAACACAGTCATGTAGCAGAAGATGTAACACATAACAGGGATGTGGGTCAAGTGTAGTAGCAAGCAGAGATGCTGTACGGGTAATAATCCACAGTTACAATGATCCCCCTAAGCTCATTCTCTCACAGTGCTCTGCTCTTTTCATTCACTTGTCAATCCCTCAACCTGTAGGATAAAATGGTTTCTACTTCTTGAATGTATCAAAAATGCACTGCAGTTTGTGTAAAAACATGCCACTCCCATTACAGTCACACCAGAGAAAAACTTTCCACGGACCTCTCCGGGAAATACTAAAAAAAATTAACTTCCTCGAACAAACTAGAGTAGAGAGAGTGAGAGCCAGTCCTACCTGTTTGTTAATATCTGCACCAGCTTGAAGTAGCCATAACAAACACTCAGGGTGGCCCCCAAAGGCAGCAATGTGAACGGGTGTCTGGGCGAACCTGGAGGTGATGGAGTTCACGCCACAGCCCACTTGAACCAGACTCATCACACACTCCAGCTGTGGAGAGACAAAGATTGATGGGAAGATGCATTCAGAGCTTCAAAACACYGGGCAGGTTTGGACAAGCGTACTGGAAAGTACTGCTTGGGTCGCAGTCTTAAAATATTTTCCTTGCAGGCATGCAAWATCTGCCTATTCTGTTGGCCTATTGTTTTCAACATCACACACAAGGTAAACAAACACATTTTAGTGCTTTCTGGTTGTCTTTTACTAGGGTTGAGCTCAGGTTTCACTTGGTTTCGATAAATTTATAAAAAGAAACACAATGTTAGCTAGCAGGGTCCGCTTTCCTTCTTGACAATGGCTGACTCGAGCAGCGACCAGGAAATGGCCGAGACGAGGCTCATGTCGGAAGGCGCTAATTTAGGACACAGCTTCACCGCAATGCCGTTAAACCGGTCGGCCAAATGATTAAGTTGTACCTTTCCAAAATGTGCGGCCCAGTGTATGGGCGTCCAGCCGTAGAAGGTGTCCTCAACAGTGAGGTCAGCCGGGTTCGAGGTGCACCGAAGGAGGGAGCACAAGGCACCGACGTCTCCGTCCCTGCAGGCTCGATGGAGCGGGAAGCGGCTGTTTAACACCTCCTCGCTCGAGAATCCAGACTCCACTCCGACAGACATTGTGGCAAAATCGGTAATGAAAAAGATAAATGTTAGCTGGCTACTTCAAAAGACCGTAAAATACCTATCTATTGTCTATCGACGAGGTGTCTGCAGGACACGCGCGCCACCCTGACTGAGGCTGCTTTATTCTGCCTGACAACACAAAGCAGAGCACGCGCCGAGGTGAAACTTGAGATGGAGAGGCGGAAACACTGGACTGGAGTTGACATTTGTGCGCATGCTCAGTCAGTGGTTCATGTTGCAAAGGGTTAATGATAAAATTCGTTGATAGCAGAATGCAGGAAATTAAGCTCAGCTTCTGTTTCTTTTCTTTTTTTCTCTCTTGTTTTTGTTTAAGGCAGGAGGATCTTTTTTAAACCGTATTTTAAAAATAAAATCAAAGAAATTGTTTTTATACAGCAGTTAAATAAGTATTGAACACGTCAACATTTTTCTCAGTAAATATATTACTAGAGGTGTTAATGGCATGAAATTTTCACCAGATGTCGGTAACAACCCAAGTGATCCATACATACAAAGAAATCAAACCATAAATGTCCAGAAATGAAGTTATTTG